TGTAAACCATTGGTGTTTTTTTCTCCCCATCCACCATACGAAGTACTTAAATTAAAGGACCACCAACTATGTACGCTTGAACAATGTCATTCCAAAAAATGGACTAATGATATGTCTCGCAACTTCTTTACCAAGAGATTCCTTTGAATAGATACTCTCATTCCATTAAGTTGACATAAATAAATTTCTCAAATTTTTCTTTTGCTTATAAAAACTATACAAAGTCAAAAAAGTTGTTGCGAATCTTGTCTTGGTGGGTTTTACCAAATTTTTTTGTTGTGTATCTCTTCATCATGTTCAACAACAATGCTCTTTGATTGATATAAGCATGTACGTTAACAGCCTTACCAAAAACTATAAAAAAAATGGCACTTAAAATGTAAAGAAATCTAACATGAAGTTTAAAAAGGCAAATTAAATATCAAGACTCAAGTTCAGCTGTAGAATACGGGGCTTGCTTGAAAATGTCACCAAACTTCTAGTTGGTACAGTGAGTAGCACAAGGAGTCCACAAAATATGTGGGGACATTCCCTTCAACATGTTACCCACTTTTTTGTTCTCACTTGCATTATCAGTCGCAACTTGTACTACATTTTCCTGCCCTACCTTCATGAGAGTCTTCTCAAACAAGTTAAACATCTTATTAGAGTCGGTAGAAGAGTCACTAGCATCATAAGATTCAAGGAATACACTCACTCTTGGAGAGTTCACCAAAACATTAATAACCATTTTCCCATTCCTTGCTGTCCACTTATCCATCATAATGGAACAACCATATGTTTTCCATTGAACCTTATGTTATTCTACTATCTTGTTTGTCTTTTCCACCTCTTTTCATAAAAAAGGAACTCTTACCTCATGATAGGTGGGAGGCTTCATTCAAGGGCCATATTGGTCGACTGCCTCAATGAATTCTTCAAAACTATGTAATTAACACAATTGAAAGGAAGTCCTGCATCATACATCCACCTAGCAAAAACAGATACACACGATCCCTCAAAATCTTGCTAGAAGATTCTAAGTCAATAGGCCCACTTTTTCTCTTTTCATTTGATTTTTGCGAGAAATAAAGATTCATAGGAGACCCTTGATAGTGCTATTGATGGAAGACCCACTCCTACTACTGGAAGGCATCCTTTGATGCTTTGAGGGAGGCCCCATTGCCATTGGCATATTCACTTCAAATTCATCATCATCCATTCCATCATTATCAACAAGATTAACCATGGATGCTTTATGGTTCATTTGAGTTTTAAACTCATTTTTCTTCAACATATATTCTTTGATCTCTTCCTTCACTTTATCTGGGACTTCCAGACATACTTTTACATCTCTATAGCCACCGATTAGATGCCTTTTGTGATGAAAGATTCCGCTGTTGTATGTCACATCACAAAAGCTACATTTGACTTTTGTGTTACTACCCATAGGAGTTTCATACGCCCAAGCCGGATCCCTTTTTTGTGACATTTTGAATGAGAAAATACAAGTTCACTAAATACTATAAGCAAAAAAGAAGTGTGAAAAAATATATAACAGAGCAACAACATACACACTTGCTACACACGATCACTTAAAAACGAAAAAAACAACAAAAAATTGGAAAAACAGAGTAGGCAGTAATATTAACCAAAAAAAAAACAAGTCAATAATTGTGAAAAGAAACAATAGTAGATCGCAGCAGAGAAGAAGAAAAAACTACAGCAGAGAAGAGTCCTGTTTGCATTACCCAAAGAGGACAAAGGGAAAAATAAAGAGAGCAGCAAGAGGAGAAGCAGATCGAAGAGAAAAGAAATTCACCGATCAGTCGCATTCGCGGTCATGAAAAAGAGAAGCAGCGAAAGAAGAGTAAAGTCGTGAAAGAAAATTAAGTCGTATCTATTTTAATTTGTTTTAAAAAAACATATTTTTTTTAAAAAAACCCTAATTGTCGCTTTTTTATAAAAGCACGCTTTATTGTGCTTTTTCATAATGTCGCTTCTCGCTTCTTTATTTGAAGTGAGCGCCTTTTTCAGATCGCATCGCCTTAGGAGAAAGAAGCACTGGTAGCGCCCCGCCTTTAAGCGCGCTTTTCACAACACTGCACGACCCAGACTGTCGTGATTGGTACCCACACTGACTTTCCGGTGGGAGAACACTATTACAACCCAAACAAGCAGCTAAACCAAAAAACTAAGGCATTTAAGTTTTGGATGCAAGTTAAATACTAAGGAAATGAATAGAGTTCCCATGAACTCTAACAAAAGTCTATCAACTAAAACAAATGCGGAAGAATTAACCTACAACCTGAAAGTCAATGTACCAAAACATTTAAGTTCAACAACTCTAAACAAGAAGGGTCACAACCCCAACTGAACTAACTAGAAAGTCCAAGTCTAAAATGTGAACATAGACCCCAAGAGAATCTAGAGCAGCCCGGAAGATGCTAGCTCACCCTTGAATTCGAAGGTGACGATCACAGATCTTCTAAGCGAGAGCTGTCAACAAAAAAAAGAGAAAGTGCAGAATCAGTACACAACAACCGTGTATTGGTAGGATCACACGGCTATCCCACTAAGTGCAACATAAAGAAGTTAATTACAACTATATAATTATGCAATATATCAAACATATATAATATTGAATATCACATTCTTCAACATTACACATTTTTCACAAGCTGTTGATCCTTTCATGGAAACCAAACCCAAACTGTTAGTGCACTGGAACGTGGTATTCGATCCCATAGTTATGCCAGAACGTGGCAATCTGATCCCATTTTTATGTTGGAACGTGACAACCGATCCCAGTTAGTTATGTCGAAATGTGGCAATCCGATCCATCAACACACCACAATCACATTCACAAGTATATTCACAATAATTATGCAATCAAGAAATTATTCATGACCTATAATTATTCATCTATCTCATTTACAACAAGTGTGAAATAAACAATGCAACATTCACATACATACATGCATCATTATGAAGAAATAACAAGAATACACTCTTAATCATAAAATCACAACCATCACCTACCCGAAACAAGCTTGAAACTATAAGAATCTTGATCCTTCCCTTTCCGGATTCGTTGCGCTTGTTCTTGGTCTATAAACAATCATTATAACATGGGAATCTTCAAACAATTGCTAATTACTCGAAATTCTAACAATTCTATGAACCCTAGTTCATAACCCATGATTCTAAGTACCCAATTAGGGTTGTTTCAACCATAGAATCTATTTCAAAACCCTTCCCCATCAATACTTACCCATTCTATTACATTCTACGGATTGGAAAATGGATTCAAGAAGTGAAAAGCTTACCTTTAGCCTAAAATATGGTGAAAAACTATCAGAAGTCGTCTAGAGCTTGTTCCTTAGCTCTAAAAGTTGAAAAGTGCATAATAAGGTTGTTGAAGAGTTTATTAACGACCTTAAGTCGCGTTGAGCCCGCTACAGCAACCCTTATCCCACTGTAGCGGCTTTGCCAAAGTGGCATAAATCCCCCCAGGGCGGGTTACGCGAGGTAGTGAGCTATTTCAAAAATCCCAAGTTCCCCATATCACAACACACCTCTAAACCACGACACTCAGAAAATACCTTCCACAACAAGATCAATTCTGAGATTTCTACTCGCCCAAATTAAATTTCGTTAAGTCGTACGGATTCTTGAAGTGTATGGGTAACGGTCCTTTTCATAATTTGACTCTCAAAAATACTTTTTAAAAAATATTAGAAGTGCTTAAATAAATAAAACATTTTCTAGCTGCTTGGCCAAATAGGTCAAACACCCTGCAAGTTCAATGTACTAATGACAATAAAAAAACATAATTCAAGTTAAGTTAATCATTAATTAAATTCTTGATAAATTATAATTGGTAATCTAATTACTCATTTTCTTAATTCATGAAGAATAAAAATCTATTGATTCTTCTAAAATTTACCTAACACTTCAAAACTGCTTAAAAATTGTTTTCACTTGAAAACACTTAAAACAAGTCATTCCAAAAGACTCTTAATCAAACACCGTCCTTATGACAAACAAATATATTCACATAAAGTTAATCATTAAATAAAGTGCTTAGTAAACCATAATTGGTAATCTAATTACTCATTTTCTTAATTTATGAAGCAAAAGAATAATCTGTAAACACACTTTAATTTACCTAAATACTTCAAAATTGCTCACAAATTTTTTAGTTAAAAGCATTTAAAACAAGTTAATTCAAACACACTCTTAATCAAACACCGTCCAAGTTTAATGTATTAACGTGACATAATCATTTAATAAATTTCTTAGTAAACCATAATTCGTCGTCCAATTACTCATTTTCATAATTCATGGAGCAAAACAATACTCTGTCCATTTAAAAAAGAATGATCTCATTTTTTTTAGTCTATTTCAAAAAGAATGACCCCTTTTTAATTTTTGGAAAAACTTTAACTTTAACTTTCCACGTGACATATTTAATACCACAAAATTAAAGAGCATTTTGGTTTATTCGTCATAAATTTAATTTAGAGCCACAAGATCAAAAAATTTTCTTTCTTTTCTTAAACTCCGTCCAAGTCAAACTAGACCATTCTTTTTTAAACGGAGAGAGTAATGTATAAACACTTTTAATTTACCTAAATACTTCAAAAGTGCTTACAATTTTTTTAGTTAAAAACACTTAAAACAAGTCAATTCATACACTCTTAATCAAAGACCGCCCAAGTTCAATGTACTAATGTGACATAAAAAATACATATTCAAATAAAGTTAATCATTAATTAAATTTCTTCTTAATCTAATTACTCATTTTCTTAACTAAAAAAAATAAAATCTATACAACTTATTTATAAATTAAATAAAACTATTACCTCATAGTCAAACACATTTTCAAGAAAACATTAAATTCAAATCTTAAGTATTTGACCACATTTGATTTTGTAACCAAATTTTGCAAAAAACATAAATATTTTCCCATAGGTAGTTTTAAAGAAATAGTATAAATATATGATAATAATAATAATATAATAAGATATTAAAATAATATTTACAAAAACCGAATTTTGACCATGATAAGAGTGAACCATTCATCTAGCAGCGAAGAAGAAGAAGAAATGGCGAGATTTTCAGTTGGAAGAGATGAACATGATAATGATGAAGGAGGACCCTGTAACTCCAGCACATCTGTATGCAAGAGACGGAGGACTACCGCCGGAACTTTCTCTCGCGGCGTCGTAATCTGTCAACAAGAAGAAGTAGAAGAAAGAGAAAGGGAAAGGGTTGTTCAGGAAAAAGTAGAGGAAGAGGCAGAGGAGGAGGATTGGGGATCGGAATCTGAGGGAAATTTCCGATCGAGCGGTGATCGGAGGGTGCCAGTTCGTGAATCCGATGTTTTAAGAGAGAACACGTCTATTTCTGGTGAGAGCATGTATCAGAATTTTGAGGATTCAATCATAAACAGGTCAATTTTTATGACGTTATTGGATCTGGATGTGTTGGATTGCCCGATCTGCTTTGAACATCTCTGTGTTCCTGTCTTTCAGGTTTCTTCTTTTTACCCTTTTCATTGCTATTAGGAGTATAAGAATTTATCTGTGTTGGAATTAATTGTGTTTGGAGAATTCTTGATTTGCCTTTAGAGGTTTTTGAAAGACATGGTCTTGAATAGAAGGGAATTTGTATTGACATTTACAATCTGACCAATATACTTTATTGCTCTTAGGGTGTAAAAGTTATAGTTTTTGTTAATCCAATAGTGGGGTTTGGGAGGATAGAGTTTACGCAGACTTTAGCCGTGCCTGGTAGAGGCGGTTTTAAAAAATAAAATATAGAAGTAGAGCAGACATGTCAGATAATAGAAATATGATTACTTAGCATTCAGTATTGCATTGGAAAAGCATAGGAAATGTGGATCTGTTAAAGAGTTTAGTTGGGAGAATTGCTGACAGTGGAATGACTGTGCTTATCCCATCTCACGTGGTTCTAATTTTGAAGTTATAACATTTCATTCAAATTGGAGAATAACTGGCTAATATAGGTCTTTGTTTTACTGGTGAAGTCATAGTCTTGATGGCGTAATATTCAAGTTAGAGGAAGCACTGGGTTATGATGGAGAATAATAAGACACTTAAAGTGGGGAGATGGCTACCAGGTTCAATCAAGTTAATCTCATTCTGACTAGAGATTACAAATGGGTGTCACTGTAAATGGGTTTCTTCTTTTCGCATCCCGATTTAATCTGGGCTTAAGTTACATTGTAATTAGGCTTTTTTCTTGCAAAATATCTGGTGAGATAGTTTCTTCCCTTAATGTTATTGTTGTGTTTCTAAAGATCGCTAATGCCCAAATTTCCCTGTTCCTTTGACAATAATACTTTATCCCACTTCACAAGGTGGAATTAATGCTCTTCACGGTTTCCTTCCCATAGGAAGCCCTTCTCAGACCAACTAGTTGCTCTTTCACCTCATATGACACTGGGATGAGGGACGTAGGTAGGTACGCTGTCCAGTACACGATTGATGGGGTTATCCTTCCTCCCATAAATAGATATTGCATGTTCCAGTTTGCCAGCGTCTTCTTCATCTTTTCCACTACCCCATTCCATATTTCAGGAGCTTTGTATTTTGCATCCAAAGGGAGACCAAATTAAGTAGAGTGGAAAGAGCATGTGCCATACCCCAGAATTCCGTGCCAGGGTATTCAAAGTCGACTTCGTTGATATGGTAGATCTGGTTCTTCATCATGTTAATATGTAATCCAGAGACAGCTTCAAACAACTTCAAAGTTAGATTGAGATATAGCTTGAAGAGTCTCTGCCCACAAAAGATTAGGGTATCAGCAGAGATAGAAGTTATTAAATGTTTGTTGTTCCTTCTTGGAGATCTATCTGATAGAAGTTATTAACCGTATACTATTCCGTTTTTGGAGAACAATCGTGATAGAAGTTATTAACTGTATTTTATTTTTGTTAGAGATCTATCGTGATAGAAGTTATTAACTGTATACTATTCATTTGTTGGAGATCTATCGTGATAGAAGTTATGTACCTAGCCTCTTTTTAGAGCTCTTGGTTTTAGCTCAAAATAACTTAAGATTTAATCTTGTTACTGCATTTAAAGACATACACAATTGATGTTCAGATACTAAGTTCTACGTCCTTCTCCTTGCCAGGGTGGTTAATTTATGTCCTTTTTCATCTAAGAGTTGCAGAATAGCCACTTTGGTTTTACTCTAAGGCAGAATATAGCTATTGGTAATCAATTTGTTGTCATTGCAACAAAATATAACATTTTAATGCATGAGCGTGTTTTAAATGAAATTATTGAGTCTTTTGGACCAAGCAAGAAATTAAAGCCATGACTCTAGGTTTATGGCAAATGCTAATACAAAGAGCTAAATAGTGAATTTTAAGTACAATTTGTTTACGCTTTCCATGTATCACATTTTTATTTTCCTCAACTTCTTAAGTGGTGTACTTCGAGAAACCTTGAAAATTTATAAGCATGCAGATTAGACTAAGCTATCATCTGCAAACATTCTAACTGCTTGCAATGAATATATTTTCTGACATCCATTTTTCTTTTGGTCAAAAATATAGTGTGGGAATGGGCACATAGCATGTGCCCCTTGCTGCATCAAGATTGCTAATAAGTGTCCATCATGTTGTTTGCCAATTGGATATAACCGTTGTCGAGCTATGGAGAATGTTCTAGAATCTCTGAAAGTGTCATGCGTGAACAATAGGTATGGTTGTAAGGAGATTCTGAATTTTAGTAAGAAAACTGACCATGAAAATGCATGCATCTATGTGCCTTGTTTTTGTCCTTCCCATGGCTGTGACTTTATAGGTACTTCAGCAAAGGTATATGCACATTTTAGCGAGAAACATGCTTCTTCCGCAGAGCACATTTCTTTCAATGCTGTCCATCCAATTTATATAGAAAAAGACCAAAGGTACATAATTCTTCAAATGAGGACAGAAGGTATACTTTTTATCGTCAACCATGCTAGTGACCGTGTTGGGAGTTCTATCAACATCATCTGTGTTGGACAAGCTAGGCAGAAGAGAAGGTTCTCATACAAGCTTGTAGTAACAGATGGGGAAAGTTCTTTTAAACTAGAATCCGTTGCAGAGAGTGTGCCAAACTGGTCAGAAGATAGTCCTATGAAGAAATTCCTTGTGGTCCCAAAAGATGTCGTTAATTCCAGTGCTCGGCTGAAGTTGGATGTTCTCATAGAAGAGAAGGAATGAGTCT